TTAATATACATTTAAAACATCCATCAATCTTCTCCCGCTTAGTCCTTGTCAGGGTTGCGGTGGGGCTGGTGCCGGGCAACACAGAGACACACAAAGACACACAAGCATGCACACACACTCATACCTAAGGAGAATTTAGAGAAGCCAATTAACCTAACAGTCATGTTTTTGGACTATGGAAGAAGCCAGAGTACCCGGAGAGAACCCACGCATGCTCAGGGAGAACATGCAAACTCCTTGCAGAAAGACCCCGAGCCGGGAATCAAACACAGAGCCTTCTTGCTGCTTCTTGCATGTCCAGCAAAATGGAAGAGCATGGCCATAATAAATATCTGAAACCAACTCCAGCAATTTTAAAAACAAATACTTAAATAATTAAGTCAAGTCCTTAAGTTTCTATTTTTAAGCTGCATCATTTTTCTGACACATTTATAGCAACAGGCTCTTTGAGTCTAATAATTTCTCGCTAAATGTTTTCTACTTGAAATGCTTTTTTCTACCAAGGGTCATAATGAGAATTTTTTAAATCAATTTCATTGACATTACAAAACGCATCTAAAAGCCTCACACGAGTTGCATCATTGCAGTACTTTGAGTTCAGTTTTACAAACTGAAAGAGTTGCACTGCAGGAAAAGACCAGAGTAACACCTTGTCAGCCAGTAAATGGGAGCTTTGTACTTAGGTAAAGCTTTGAGTAATTGAAAGCAGAGACTACATAAAAGAAACCACGGAACCAATTTAGCTGAAAAGGTGAGGATGAATGCAGCACTTCTTTCTGCAGAGGTTTAATCAGCCTTTCAGTTATATTCTATCTGCACTCGTTCAGCAAAGTTATATACCAACAGTAATATCTGCATTAGTATTCAGATATATAGAGCAGCATCTCCACTGACTGCAGATTTCAGTTATGCAGCAGATTGGATTAACACAATACAACAAAATACAACTCCCTGATTAAATATTTTTAATTTCTTTATTTTTGTTTGCCAAGGTTAAACAAGGTTAAGCTCCTGCTGTTTATATAGTGGTAGGTGGTTCTGAACACAGGGTGGTGCTGCAAGGGCCTCATAGACGACGCCCAATTGATGAAGAAGCATAAATGCTTTTATGCAACTACCTAAATAATCATATAAAGTTGAAAGATTTGCTGCCAAAACATAGTAACTAAGAACATTTATAGCTGAGTTAAAAATAAGGCGGCATTAACAGGTAGAAGAAAAGCAGGTTCTGATCCGACTGTTGCTTCATAGGTGCTTTCAGTCCCCAGATCTGCAGAAGAAAATACGAAGAGAACTCGAAACGCATAACATCTCGATCTGTTTTGCAGGCCACCTTACCATGATGATTCCACCTATATGGTAAATATATCTACACTCACCGGCTACTTTATTAGGTACCCCATGCTAGTAACGGGTTGGACCCCCTTTTGCCTTCAGAACTGCCTCAATTCTTCGTGGCAGAGATTCAACAAGGTGCTGGAAGCATTCCTCAGGGAGTTTGGTCCATATTGACATGATGGCATCACACAGTTGCCGCAGATTTGTCGGCTGCACATCCATGATGCGAATCTCCCGTTCCACCACATCCCAAAGATGCTCTATTGAGATAATTCAAGCTTTATGACATGGCGCATTATCCTGCTGAAAGTAGCCATCAGAAGTTGGGTACATTGTGGTCATAAAGGGATGGACATGGTCAGCAACAATACTTAGGTAGGCTGTGGCGTTGCAACGATGCTCAATTGGTACCAAGGGGCCCAAAGAGTGCCAAGAAAATAATCCCCACACCATGACACCACCACCACCAGCCTGAACCGTTGATACAAGGCAGGATGGATCCATGCTTTCATGTTGTAGACGCCAAATTCTGACCCTACCATCCGAATGTCGCAACAGAAATCGAGACTCATCAGACCAGGCAACGTTTTTCCAATCTTCTATTGTCCAATTTGTAGCAAATTGTAGCCTCAGTTTCCTGTTCTTAGCTGAAAGGAGTGGCACCCGGTGTGGTCTTCTGCTGCTGTAGCCCATCTGCCTCAAAGTTCGACGTACTGTGTGTTCAGAGATGCTCTTCTGCCCACCTTGGTTGTAATGGGTGGTTATTTGAGTCACTGTTGCCCTTCTATCAGCTCGAACCAGTCTGGCCATTCTCCTCTGACCTCTGGCATCAACTAGGCATTTCCGCCCACAGAACTGCCGCTCACTGGATGTTTTTTCTTTTTCGGACCATTCTCTGTAAATCCTAGAGATGGTTGTGCGTGAAAATCCCAGTAGATCAGCAGTTTCTGAAATACTCAGACCAGCCCTTCTGGCACCAACAATCATGCCACGTTCAAAGTCACTCAAATCACCTTTCTTCCCCATACTGATGCTCGGTTTGAACTGCAGGAGATTGTCTTGACCATGTCTACATGCCTAAATGCACTGAGTTGCCGCCATGTGATTGGCTGCTTAGAAATTAAGTGTTAACGAGCAGTTGGACAGGTGTACCTAATAAAGTGGCCGGTAAATGTATTTTGTCATAAAACCACACGGACCATAAAAAGTCTAGTATTTCACTCTATGAAACTAAATGACTTCAATCAAAGTTTCTTTAAGTCAGAACGTTTATTTTTTTGCTGTTTCAGTTTTTATTGAATTATTATCTGTCAATACAAGAGCATAAGCAACACAAACGTAACTTTTGCACAACATTAAACAACCGTTGTCTAGATAAGCACAGACATATACAAACATTTTCCACATTAAGTATTTCATATGATAACAGTTTATTTCCTTCCCGCACTTCATGGTAAATGTTAAGGCGATCTTCACATTAGACGAAACCCACTGTATGTTTCCCGTATCTAAATAAAGGTACATTTGGAGAGTATGAATTCAGTGACACCATAGTTGCTTTTCCCACAATGGTCACACCACATAAAGTCCCCCTTTAATGTAATATACAAGCCCACATTTTATAATTGCAAGAAAAACATAACGAGATCTGTAGGAAAATTAAAAATGTTTCAGGCTTCTTTAGTTTTAGAATCAGATTACTCAGGAATATTGTAAGATTTTCCAGACACATGTTCAGTTTCCATTTTTTAACAAAACCAAAGATGGAAGAGAAAGTTCACACAATCAAAAGGATCCAAATGTTTAGTGGTATTTAGTTTTCTTTACAAAATCATGACATAAAAAAAAGCTAATATCCGCTGTGTGCTCATAATATCTTCACACCATTGGGCGCATAGTGGTATAACGGTATATGATGATGATGATGCCGTGCTACCATAATATAGAGAAGCAATATGTTCAGGTCCTTATTTACTGATTCAACAAACCAACCGAACTAATGTTTTATTTTTGTTTTCTATCCATTAAAACTGCCGCGGACTACATGTGAAAACCTAACCTTTACACATCTGGAATAATGACATAAGGTAAGGTAAAATAAATAAGCAAAATCAAGAATGAGGTTTTCCCACTGACCTAACTTTCGTTTTTCATTGCACAATTATAACCTAAGCTAACATTCTCAGATTCTTTGCATTATGTTTCCATCAATGATTTCTTGTAGGTAACATTGAAACCTTCTATTGGATCCCTATTCTTTATGCCTTAATGGCTCCTTTGGGATAAAAACGTTCTTTTGTGCTCATTTCTCTGCTCACATACTAACATGGGACAAGAAAACACGTAGAAGTTTTTGGAAATTATTGAATATTACACAATATACCAACCTACATACTGACTAAGAGACACGATTCAGGGAAGTCAAGTAGAAAACTTAGTCATCCCTTCATTTTTACTCCTTTTGTTTGACTTAGAATATTCAAAACATCTTGAGCCTTTTCTCTAATGTAAATATTCTCTTAAGATCTCTTTATGGTGCGTTGACACTCAACGTGATTCCAGTGACTTGGTCGCCACTCATAGGTGCTGTCGCTTGCTCGACATTTCACCAGCTATTCGCATGGTAACAACAAGAAGCCTCTATCTGCTGCTTGCTGGTTTCAATTCAGATTGGTGGAAATGGCTTTTACAAAATGAGTGCTTTATCCATTACGGAAAGCTGAACAGCGCCGTCTTCTACTTTGATTTACAAAAGTTTCATCTCCAATAAACTGCTTCACCCTACATCACAAATACACCCACTTCCTGATTGGTTGTGAAAAGCTCAGATTTCTCAACAACTTTGTCCTTTGATGTATTGATCATAAATTTTGCCATTTTTGGAAGTGCGTCCTTCAAATTGCCGAGCTCCTAAATGCACCTCCGCATAGAGAGAACATGTGAATCGCTCACTTCAGTCGCTGATATCGCATTTTGTGTGAATGCACCATAAGTGTCAATGCAGCAGGCAAGTAGTGCAACCCTATGTTATTCCTACTTTGTTAGATAGGTGGCTTTCACAGGTAGACGTTTTAGGCTTATTTATATTAAAACCATCGATTTAATTTCATTGCACTTTTAAAAAAAACTAACATAAAGAACTACATAAAAGTAGAGTGGAAGAAAATAATGCATTTTAAATTCTGTTCAATGTTTATTTACACGTGTATTCACCCCCCTACACACGATTGAAATCCACTGGAACCACTTGACATTAAAAGTCCTATAGTGGGTAAATGGGTCCCGGGTATGTAAAAATGTCATCACAGTAAATCAAGCTGTTCTGTAAAAGTCTTCCGTGTTTCCTGAAGGAAAAACATCTAGAGATGGCAGATAAACCACCTTTTACTAGGACAGGAACCCTAAACTTACAGCCAGAGCTACAGTTAAATGGCAGATGTGTAACGCTTGTAAAAACATACAAAGACTTTCAGTGGTATTTGCCACAAACTATGGTTCTGTAAAGTATTAACTGAGATGGACTGGATTCATTTTCTACTATTTAGAAATGTATTCAAGACTAAGTATACTTTTACCTCAAATATAATTTCCTTTCCACTCTAAAGTTATGCAGTACTTTGTGTTAAAACCTTTAGAGGTTGACACAATAAAAGATGGACATGTTCAAGAGTTAATAGTATATTTGTAAGGTACAACAGACTTTTAAAAACATTCATTACACAAAGATAATTTAAAACGAAGCCATAAATGTAAAGAATATTTCTTTTGAAACGAAACATGAAAAACATTTTCCATTGGCACATTCACAACATAAAGACAATATTTATGTATACAAGCTTATAACTGTTTTTTTCACAGACAAGTCCATTCCAGCGAATAAAAAAAGAAATCTGACAGATAAAGCTACAAGAGCACAGGCACTTGATGTTCTCTTTTGGATGCAATAAGGCAGTTGCTGCCAATAAAAAGAGGTAAAAGAATGTCACCACATTTAGACGCCGCTTTCTACGCTGTGCAATCTGCAATCATGCACACAGAATTTGAGCAGGACCTTTTTGGGAGGCCTTTAAACGAGGACATGGATATTACTCAGCTCATGACTCACAGCCTATTAGGATGAGGACTGACAAACAGAAGATTGAAAAAAGAAAAAACAGATGGTGGACACGTCGATGGCTGCTGACAGCCTCTCATGTGACCACTTCACCCAGCTTTAAGCTCAGCAGTTACCGGTGGTGCTGACAGTGGTGTAGCTGAACTTGGACATAGAGGTCACCATCGATGTACCCATAGAGGTGGCATTGAGGCCGTCTTCCCCATATCTCATCTGCCGGCAACATATCCGGCGGCAAAGACGGTTGCGACAGCAGCAAGCGAAGGTGGACAGCAGTGCCTTGCGAAACCGTGTGTTCATAAAGCAGTAAATGATGGGGTTGACGCAGGCGGACGTGTAGGATAGCAGGTGGATAAAAGAGATGGGAGCTCCGGTGAGGGCTTTGGAGGCAGACTTCAGGTCGAATGCCTTCCAGGTGTTGGCTGTGTATAAGGGCATCCAGCAGATGAAGAAGAGGGCTACGATTACCATCAGCATGCGGATGACTCTCCGCTTGGCTTGCAGCTTAGCCTCGGAGGTGTTGCTACGGGCCCGCTCCGGCTTGTGAAGGATGGTGGTCGTTGAGGATGAGAGGGTGGGTAGCTCTACAGCAGAGGAGGGCTTTTTGGAAACCTGGATGTAGCACCCATCATCATCGTCATTTGGGCCTTGCATAGCCCTGCCTGCACCATTCTTCTGGCCTAGAAAAGGAACGGCGTGCACTGTAAGCTTAGGACAGTTTTTAAATTGGTAAAGCAAACACAGTAATGAAATAAATAAATAAAACCATTATACAGTGTGAAGAAATTAGAGTCTTTGGCTGTGTCCAAATGTCCGCCCTAACTAGTTTATAGGGCACTATATACTTGTTACCCCAGTTTAGATGAGTGTCTGAATGTCTAGTGGATTAAAAGTAGTGGACACAATGCACCTTGAAAAGTAGTGAGCATCCATGTTCACTAGAGGAGCAGATATATCCCAGAATGCTTTGCAAGAAGAACTCTCATCGCAAAGCATGATGGGGGTTGTTCTCACAGTGGCCTGCCCTCGCCTACGTCTATCGCTACACAACAATGGGCGACAAATAACAAAGATTGCACAGGAACCGCGCAGGGAGACGGGGTAAAATGACCCAACAGGGAGCGAAAAGTAGTGATCATCTGTCTGAATGGTCAGTTAACTGAGTTCACTCTAAAGTCCACTATATAGTCTCCTCTCTATATAGTGATTGAGGGGATTTAGGGGTGAGGGCGGACGATGGGACACAGCCTTAGACTCTTTTTTTTTTTTTATGCAAATGCGTGACTACACTTCAAATAACTAGACCTTGTTAAACCTGCGATAACACCAAACCCTAAAGATGAGAAGGACAGAGTGTGGTGAGATTTCTCATTTAACTCAGCCTCATACTGAGAACTATTTTCGGCCATCTACACCGGTCCACTTATGGACCCCAACGTCCACACTCACCAGATCATCAGGGATGCCAGATGTCACCGATGCATATAAATGGTAAATGGTAAATGGCATGTACTTATATAGAGCCTTTATTAAAGTCAGGAGACTTGACCAAAGCGCTTTACACTACATTCATTCACGTACACACTCACACACTGATGGTGGCAAGCCGCATTGTAGCCACAGCTGCCCTGGGGCTCACTGATAGAAGCGAGGCTGCCGTACACTGGCACCACCGGGCCCTCTGACCACCATCAGTAGACAATGCAGGTGAAGTGTCTTGCCCAAGGACACAACGACACTGAAAGTCAGAGTCGGAATTTTCAAGCCCCAAAAAATTTCCATAAACCGCCAGGATATACGAAATCTCGCCCAATTTGAACCAAAGTCTATTAATCTCTTAGGCCATATATCTAAAGAAAACATTTTTTTACTCATAGACGGCCATTCTAAACTGCCAGATTGGGAAACATCCAAACCTGGCAACAATGCACGTAAGATGGGAATTGTTAGCTTTTGGATGCAAAACCCATCATGCACCGCAACATATTTTTGCAAATTATTCGAAAATAAATTTGCAAAATATAAGAGGAACATCATAGTTTGGTTTATAGAAAGCATTTTAGTTTTATTATAATTTACTTTGTTGCAAGAATTTCACAGTTTAAGGAAATAGGATTTTAGAGTTTGAAGAAATATAAAATTACACCATAGATACAGTAAGGAAGAGTTATTTACTGTCACAGGTAGGTGCTTCGACCAAAGCGTAAGTGTTGGGGCCGCTATGATTTAATGAGGGCCGGCCCTTGCACGTTGAAATTAGGACCGGCCCACTGGGCAACTGCCCGGTATCCCAGATTACCAGTCCCAGCCTGGCTGTTTCCATATCAGCATTAACTCATGTCTTGGAATAAAAAATATTTCGCTACTTTTGCCAAAAACGTAGTTCATATAGTTCAGTGGCAATCCTTGATTCAAAATAGAAACTATGTTTATGGTAGTTATCTAAAAAAAAAAAAAGTCATTATCATTTTAGATCATGATGACTTTACATGTGAAGAAACTGCTAAGATAAACTACTGTGAGAGAAGAAGCTGAGCTGCAGTAAAAGAGATGTCAGGGTGTCCAACTCTATCATAAGGGTGTGTGAAAGTCTCTATCCACCAACACAGAGTTTGCTATATATTGGCAGCAGATGAACAATGAACTCTGACAAAAAGTCAACTTCTGCATAAAATAGAAGGAAAGTGATTGCATTGTAATTGTAAACTATATGGAACATCACTAGTCTGAAAAATGGAAGTTTTAAACCACCATGAGTAAAAGGTGGGATTTTTTTCTAATCAGAGGAAGCGGTCTGATGACCAGTTATATCCAAGGACACTGTCATGAATGAAGATTTAAACCAAAACCCATCCAAGAGCAATTTGTTTGACAAACCCATACACAATTTGCTTAAGATCTGTGGATTTACTCATACGGTGTAGCACTGTGTCGCATGGCAAAAACGATTAAGTCCCTGAAAGACCAAAACATTAACTTGCAGGTTGTAATTTAATACGAGGCTAATAAAAGCAGATGTGATTTATAGCTTGAGCCAAAATGCAGAGCACTTAATAGGAGAAGAACGGATGAGGTTTGGTTTTCTCCTGCTTCCTGTTCTCTGCTTTCTTCAATGTCATCCTTTGCCTCTAAATTAGGTGCTTTGTACTCTCCTTCTATTTTTTTGTTTGTGTTTTTCAAACTCTTTTCCTTTTCTGAAAGGAATCATGATTCCTCAAGCATTTTTCTCATCACAAAAGAGTGATTATATTGATTGAAAATAGGTGAAATTCTACTTTATTTGTTTGGTAACACAGGATCCACACTTGGTTTATCATTTTCAGACTGTGTCACCTCATGTTTTGGTGGAATAGAAAAGGTGTGGGTTTAAATCCAGACACCTGTTATACTTATGTCGATGTGCCTATGGATGACAGTCGTTAATTGATATTAAATTATAAATCAACATCCCCATCTGTGAGCATCTCATAGAGTACAGCTTGATCTACCACCTGTAAATGGTGTAGGGTAAAAGTGAGAAGACTTCCAGCTATAGTGGCAGTCTGGGCATGGAGAGAATTAGAATCCCACTGCAGCCTAGTCTCTACTGAAGCCGATTATCCCGACACATGCAGCAAGTATAAGTCACCAGACGCGACCCTGTTTCAGCTCTTCCAGACAGGATCATCCTTTTTTTCTGTGGGATCAGCTCTCATATGAGACAAAACTCCTACTTGGCATTAGGAAGACTGAGAGGCAGTGTCACAGGTGCAGAACCTGTGGGTGTTCAAATATATGTCATACTTTGCTCGAGGCGAAATAAGCAATCTGATTGTACTGCAGGTATGTGGTGTTTTAAAATCACAGTAAAAAACAAAAACAAAACTAAGGTTAGATTGTTTCCCTTCGTTCTTTGACACAGGACAAAAATGCTGTCAAGCTAAATCGGATTAGCTGAATAAAAGAAACACAAAGCTTTTTGAGGGTTGAAGTGGATTGGGGATGCATCTCACCAGTGGTTTCTTTGCTCTGGCTCAGCTCGAACTGAATGCCTCGGTAAAGCTCCCGGGAGATCAGACCGTAGGCTATTATCATCACCACGCCCGGGATGAAGAACAGAATGAAAAGCAGCAGAACATACCTGGAAAACAGACAGAGGAAGGCATTGACAACACCTACAGAGATGCAGAAGTTTTCTCAGCCTGTATACCTTGGAGCATGATTCTGTTCTTTAGCCATGCTGGAGGCCCTGCAGATGGCTCCAAAAATCCCCATATAGCCCTGCTCTATGAGGGTACTCCAGCACCCTGCAGCATAAACTCTAACCTATTAAAATGTTTACTTACATCTCAGGGGGGCTTCTAGCTGATGGAACATTTTTATGTATCAACATATTTCTCACCGTGCTGCAGCTTTAGTGGGAGACAGTTATGAGGCAGATTGATTGCATAAGGATTCCCTCTAGAAGCATCCTTCCTTTTCTGTACACCACATGGGGATGAGGGTGATATTTATTCTGCTTTCAAAACCAGGCCTTTGGGATTCAGCAGCGCTAATGTTAAAAAGTTTTTTTTTTTCCTCTTTAGCCTGCTGTTGAATATGACATTCTGAAGTCAGACATAATTTAAGACTGGCATCAATTTCAGCACCACAATGAGTTCATTCAGCTCACATTAAGTTTGGAGGTTTTGCTGACATTTCTGAGGGACATATACAGCAGATTCTAATATTAACAGAGTGCAGGTTCATGCAGGATCTGTGCAAACTAGATTTTAGACCTCCCTTGATGAGTATTCACACCTTATGAAGTTTTCTTTGTTTTATCACATTATTGCCACAGACTTAATTGGGTTTTATTGGTATTTGCATGTAACAGGCACATAGGCATTTCTTTAAACCCCCCTCGAAGGTCAGTACTTTCTAGAAGCATCTTTGACTAAAAGTCAGTAATTTGGACGTTAATCTACCAACTTTGCAAACATAGAGATAACATTTTTACTCAAAATATACAAATTCAGATAGATTGGATGAAGATTTATATTATAAATTTCCATCTGGATTGAAGTTTGAACTTTAACTCAACTGTTTAGCTCTAGGGAAACCTAGGGGTGTTCTCCTTTGCTTGGCTCCATCTTTCTTCTAGTCAATCTTTACCAGCTTCTGTGCCCCACAGCATGATGCTGCCACCATTGTGGTTATGTATGGGTAGTCTTCTTTTGGTTATTTGCCCTGCATGATTTTCCTCTGCACATTTTTGGGTCGACATTTTGCATGCCGTTTAAAAGAATTTTTGGCATTGGATGAGATTGTGTTCTTTTAAACTAAATGCATGACTTCTTATAGCTCTTAATATTTATTTATTTATTTATTTATTCGTTTATTTGATAGGGACAAGTATGTTTCATGCATCATGTCACACACTATAACATTTTAGCTAAGGCTAATTCTCAATGTCTGTCCCCAGTTAGGCTTTTACACAAACACAGTGACTGTACACAAGAAGAACAGAGCAAATTACACATTAAAACATCACAGAAATAAAATCAGGTCAGTTAGGTTATGAATGTTCACATGACTGACCTCTCAATAAAAAGTCTTTAAGTTTATGTTTAAAAAGGACCCAGTTTGACTCTCCCTTCAGTTCTGCAGGTAATGTGTTCCATATTTTGGTGCCTTGTACAATGAAAGCTGATTGACCGAAAGAGGTTTTGCGTCTGGGAACTCGACAGTTTCCACTGTGGGCTCCTCTTGTGACTGAGCCCACAGCTCTGAGAGGAACTACACAGTCACTCAAAACCTTAGGGGCCTTATCATGCAAGCATTTATATACCAGTTTTAACTGAGCAAATTTCACAAAGTTTTCGAAATTCAGCATTTTTAAATTGTTCAGACTAACACAGTGATGGGACCTGATTGGTTTTTTATCTAAGATTTTTATAGCTCTATTATAGATCATCTGAAGAGGCTTGATAGTAGTGATTGTGGCCTGTGACCAAGAACTAATGCAGTAACTTAGATGTGAAAAGATCATGGAGTGCAGAAAACTGTGAGCAGCGTGAAACGGTAGGGAATCTCTAATCAGTTTGAATGTGTACAAGTTTGCTTTTGTCACTCTGGACACTTTTTTTACATGGCTGTCAAATTTCAATTGTGAGTCAAGTATTAGTCCTAGATACTTGATTTCTGAGACCTGCTGGATTCTAGCTCCATTTATCTGTAAATTTAGTTCTTGAGATATGAGCTTGGTCCTAGAAGAGAAACAGACAGACATAGTTTTTTTAACATTCAGAGACAACCCTGCATTATGGAACCACACTGACACAGTTTGTAGATGTCCTGACAGTTCATTAGAAACTGCTTGCACAGTCTTTCCACGAACATAAATTACTGCATCGTCTGCATATAACTGAAAACCTGCTGTTGGACAAGACTCTGGCAAGTCATTTATGTATAATGTAAATAGTAGAGGGCCAAGGATGGATCCCTGTGGCACTCCTGTATTTATCTTTAAAAATGATGATTTTTCATTGTTTATTGTGACACACTGCTCTCTTCCTTCTAAGTAGGATTTAAACCACTGTAAAGTTTTCGGTGAAAATTTTAATTTGGATAATTTTGCAATTAGAATTTTATGATTTAACGTATCAAATGCCTTTTTGAGATCCTAAAAGACTGCGCCTACTATTTCCCCGCTGTCTATTGCCAACTTTATTTGTTCAACAAAATAACAGTTTGCTGTATCCGTAGAATAATGAGGTCGGAAGCCAAACTGTAAAGGATGTAAGATTTTATGATACTGTATGTACGCCATTAACTGATTGGAGACTATTTTTTCTAACACCTTAGAAAATACAGGCAGAATGCTTATAGGCCGATAGTTACAGGCCTGGTCTTGGGATCCTGACTTAAAGATAGGCATAACTCTAGCCTGTTTCCAGGGTGCAGGGAATTGCCCGCTCTCAATGGACATTTTAATTACATGCGTTAGAGGTTAGAGTGCATTTTTGTTTCGCTTTACGAAAGCAGTATTAATGTGGGAGAGATCCATGCAATTGCTTTGTTTAATTGTATTTATGGCATCAAGCACAATAGATTCACTAGTCTGCTCTATGGAGAATGTTGTGCCTGATGTAACCTGTTGTTGAATTGGTCTTGTAAGGTTTCCAAAATCAAACTGTTGGACCAGCTCCTCCACAGATGACACAAAATAATTATTAAATTCCTGGGCTATTTGTTTAATGTCTCTTATCTGCTGGTCTCCAATTTTAAGCTCAAACATTTTTGTTGTACTCTGTGGTTTTACAATGCTATTTATTTGTTTCCACATTATAGATGGACTTCCTTTGGCTTCTGTTATTGTAGATATGTAATATTCTATTTTTGCCTTTCTTAAATTTTTTATGACACGATTTCTTAAACTTTTATATATGTTGATATCAGTATTCAATTTACTTTTAAGTGATTTCTTCAAAGCCATGTCTCTCTCTTTCATCAATCTCCTGATGTCACCATTAAGCCACGGTAAAGATCTTTTTTTTAAATGTTTTTGTTTTTTGAGGAACTTAGAAATTACTTCTTCCAAACTACTTATTAATTCTTTGCAACAGTTGTGGACATCCTCATTTTCCAAAATATTGCTCCAACTGATGCCATTTAATTCATTGTCTAAAACAGGGAAATCGCGCTTAAAAATAGTTAATATATTTGATTTAATATTGTTAACATTTTGAAGGCGTTTTTTAGAAAGTTTTCTTGCTATCAAAATCATATGTGGTCTGACAAACCGGTTAGAAAATTGTATGATTTTAATATTCAATCTTCTTTATTAGAGAATATTAAATCAATTTGGGTCTTTGAAGACTTTGAGATCCTTGTGGCACCTTTCATTATCTGGGTAAAATCAAACTTTGTCATTAGGGTCTTAAGTTTTTTCCTTTTGCTAGAATTAAGCCAGTCAATATTAAAATCACCCAGTATGATAACTTCTGACTTATGAGCAACCATTTTCAACAATTTATCTAGTTCACCATAAAACATTTCATTGCAAGAAGGGGGATTATATAAAACCACAATTAAAAAGTGCATGCTTGATGACAGTGATACTTCAACACAAATATGCTCAATGTTTACATCATGTTCAAAGGTGACTTCAGTGCAGTTAAAAGAGTCTCTTAAGTAAATTGCCACTCCTCCTCCTTTGCCTGTTTTCCTATCAGTTCTATAAAGACTATATCCTGGAATATCAATTAGATTAGAGTGAATTTTACTGTTGAGCCATGTCTCACTTAAGGCTAAGAAGTGCAGATTTGACTCTATCAATAATGTCTTAATCTTATCATGCTTTGGCAACAAACTCCTGATGTTCAAATGTGCCCCAAATATACCCTTCGGTTTACTGTTTTTGTCCCATATAACTTTAGCGTGGTTCACTGTTGAAAAAATCCGTTGAGATGAGTGTTTACTCACTACTACTCCTGTTGTAGGTTTCTGTCCAGCTCCGTTCTGCTCTGTAGGGTTAGAAACCGCTCCAGTTGATATTAGTGGTGATGGTCTATCCCGGCTCCTCGTTTTTATTGAGGGGGAAAAAAATATTCGGGCGTTGTCCTCTTGTGATGGGATTTCCCTCTCTTCGCACACTATTGGTGTGGCCCGCCGCTCTCCCGGTGACTCGCCTCCGGATGACACCTGCGTAGTCCAGCGGCCCATGGCGGCTGACCCTCCCTTTCACCGGTGCGGCCGCACCTCCAGCGCTCTCCACAGCCTCCCTCCTGGGCAACAGGACGCGACCCTCCCCGAGTTGCAATGCATCCATTTCAGACATATTCAGCATATCCACAGTAGTGTCGGAGCGGCGGGGCAAGATCAGCCCGAGTAAAGCCGGCTCAGACACAGGCGCTGTCACCGCCTCCATCCCCGGCGGCTCAGACGCGGCTGGACCTGGTCCCATCAGCTGCGAGATGTCGCCAATGACAGCCGGGCCGGGGTTGAGGTGAATATCCCTTGCTAACAGTATTAGCAAGGAAAGCAGTTTAATTATTTTTGTCCATTTAGTTGTGTTCTTCTTCTGGGTGTATGGAGTGTCCGGCTTTGTATTGCGTTCAAATCTTGCTTCATCGTAGTTCAGGATTGTTGTGAAAATGA